GACAAACAGAAGTTTGTGTTCTCACCTGTTGAACAAAAATAAGTACATATGAATAATTGTCTAAATAAAAATTAAGGCAAATGAATATGTAAAGCATATCTTACTCCTATTTGAGAATAACTTTGTTGGTTGTTTCCTTGACTTGTAGGTTGAGAAGTTCTCCCCCTCCCATACTATGTCACCACAAAATAAAACATATGATTATAAACTTTAAGCAATTTACAAATGTGAATATGATTAGAATTACTTACTCTTGAACACACAACTTTGTTATGACCAATTTTCTTGCAAATGGAACATGTCATCTTTACTCCTTTTCTGCAAATTTTTCCCCATTTTTTGGGATCATCCTTACTCTTTCTTCTCTTCTTGCCAGGTCTGCCTTTTTATTTGGTTTTGGAGGCTCTATTGATGGATTTTTAGTTTTAGGCAACATTCTCATATTGGGTATTAGTTGGATGAAATGACTGTAAGCCTTGATAAATGTTTCCTTTATATACATGTGCTCTACATGTTGATCAGGATCTTGATTCAAGTAATAATAAGCACAAATAACATGAGGGCAAGGAATACCTCTCAACATCCACAACCTACAGTCACAATGCTTCTTCTCCAAGTCAACCACAAATGATTATTCACCATCACTAATCTCAAAACCATTCACCCCATTCCATCAAACGTAACAGTTCTTTGAATACTCCTTGTTTCTTTCTAGTATTGCCCTTGCCATAGGTGCAATGTTTCATATTCATGTTTCAGCAAATTTAATCATGTCTATTTGTATGTTCATCATTTTATGCGTAATATCCCCTAGCATGATAACAATTTATTTATGTCCAGCAGCTAAGATCCAGGAATTGAAAGTCTCACACATGTTATTTTCTACAACATCACACTTAGGATGAGTCTAGAAAAAAGCTCTACACCAATTTATGGGATCATAATGTAGTAAGTCCTTTGTTATTTCCTTCTTACATAGCTTATACATTGCATGAACTTCTTCACCAACAAGAAAGAAGAAAACATATCCTTTTCTCAACATTTGGCAACAAATCCAACAAGACAGGAATAAGTCCCTAATAAAAAGTATATACATAATAATTAATTGAAGTAGTAAAACTAAAACTGAAAAAGAAGAAATTGTGTAAACAATACCTTTTGCATATCTGACATCACAGACAAACCTTCACCAGTTCCCAAGCTTAGTTCAGCAATTAAACAACTTATGAACCAGCTCCAACTATAATTCGTTAATGTATCAACAACAACCCAGACAATGGGATACATTTGATTGTTCCCATTCTTTCCTACAACCAACTAATAATTCACCCTTACAATCTCCTTTGAGAAAACAACCATCAAATCCAATTATATTCCTACACCTCTCCAACCATCCTTGCTTTAATTCATGAAAGCACACATAAAAATACACAAAATGGTTCTTCCATAGTTCAGTTTCCTTATCAACTTTTACCCAACAAAAGCTTCCAGGATTGGTTTGTTTGATCATATCTGCATAGTCACATAATCTGGCGAATTCCAGATTCCAATCACCCATGTATTCCCTCACAATTTTCTGTTTAGCCCTGTAACAAAGAGTCTTACCAACATAAAGACCCAATGTCTTTCTAACCAAATCTTGAATTTCTGAAATCCTTATGTATGGTTGAGATATAATTCTACCCTTAAACTTTCTATCAATTAACTTTGAATTACACAACTTATTCATGTTTAATGGAATATACTTGTGAATAGGATGATAGTTCTTCACGATGAAATCACCTGAGTCCCTGTCAATCGAAGCATATAACAACCACTTACACTTACCTTTTTTGCACTTCACCCTCACTCTATTTTTTCATTAGGTCTTTGGTTTAACTGTCTTTTGTACTCTACAGCATAATCTGCCACTGCTTTCCTGAACTGATTTCCACCTTCAAAGAACATTCCAAGCTCAAAAATTTCACAATCTTCATCATACCTAACCTTTTTGCTTCTCCTTCTAGCATCCACATCTAGTTGTTCATCACTATCATCACTCCAACAGCCAGAGATATCAATATAATCTTCATCTCTACCTAATTTTCCTGCATATTTGTCAGTTTTGTTCTTTCCAATAACCTCAAAGCTTCTATCTATACCACCAGTCTCTCAAACTGGTATTTTTTCAAATTCAGTAGCCTTTTTTCTCTATTTTTTGTTTCTTTTTCTTCTCTAAAAGCTCTCATCTCCTCATCAATATCTGAACCATCTTCTGAAGGTATATCTAAATTTGAATCACTACTCAAGAAATCAGATGCATCTTCTCCACCTAGGTTATCATCCACTTCCTCTCCACCTAGGTTATCATCCACTTCCGCTCCACCTAGGTTAACATGCTCACCCTCATCACCCTCACCAGTAAGATTACAAGCCTCACCTTCTCCACCTAGGTTAAGAGCCTCACCCTCACCATCCTCACCACTAAGGTTACAAGCCTCACCTTCTTCACCTAAGTTAACAGTCTCACCATCTTCACCATTAGTTAGATATCCTATAGTTACCTCAGTGTCAAGTAAGGGTTTATCTAATACATGATAGACATATACTTCAAAAGTGTCCTTATGTTTTAAGTCTTGAATAAGGTGTAGTAAATGTTGGTCAGTTGCAATAAGGATCCATTTTTTATTCAATAAATCTTTCATATAAAAGCCTACAATAGTTTCGTACCCTAATTCTTTAGTATAATACAATAGTTCCAAAATAGAAAAGTGGTCCTTGATGATATACCTGAGTGCAGACACACAGTTTCCAACATAAGTAGGGACAGATAACTCAGATAAGATTCTACCATGGTAAATCTTCGTAAATATGATTTCCTCCATGGTCAATTGTTAGCCCTACAAAATATCAACCTAACCCTAGATTTAACTGAATATACTCATACAAACAACTACAAAATAAACCTTTAAATCATACTTTTTGGTAATAGTAAAGAATGGACAGAATATTCACAAACCCTACATTTTTACAAAACCAGAGCTTTATGAAATTCATATAAGAAAGCATCTAATGAAACAAGAATCAAACTAACAGGATGATAGATCGTAACACAAAGAAGAGGAATCAAACAACAATCAAACTTCAATCTGGAATGAATCGCGAGATTGAGAGCTTGAAATTGAAATAAATCGTGAAGTTAGAGAGAGAGAGAGGGAGGGAGAGAACTGTTCTGTGAAAGTTAACGATTTGGAAACTTTTTCCAATTTAGGCATTAACAAATACACGTCGGATACACGTGGTATTTGAAATGGTCATTCAATACACGTTAGATACATGTGGGGAGGTTAACTACATGCACCACACAATTGATGAAAAGTGATTAAAAATTGTTGTACGGTTCAAATCTAGGGTGGTTGAAGTATTCAATAGGTAGTACGTCTAGTTGAGGTGTCTAAATGAAAAATCGGGACAAGTTTGAGTGGCCGCATATGACTTTGGCCAAGGTCTAAGCACCGCGTTTCATCCCCAAATGGATAGTCAAGCGGAACATACTATTCAAACCCTTAAGGATATGTTTAGAGCTTGTATAATTGACTTCAAGGGAAACTAGGATAAACACTTGCGTTTGGTTGAGTTTTCTTACAATAATAGTTACTAGTCGTCTATATCATGGCTCCTTTTGAAGCCTTGTATGGTAGGAGATGTAGGTCTCCAATTGGATGGTTTCAAGTTGGCGAGTCTTACTTTTGGATTCCGAATTGGTTTATACAACTTTGGAGAAAGTTCATAGAATAAGAAATCTCTTGAAAAAAGCCTATAGTCGGCAAAAGTCTTTTGCCGACTATAGGAGGAGAGACTTAGAGTTTGAAGAAGGTGATAAGGTGTATCTAAAAATTTAACCTATCAAAGGAGTGGTAGGATTTGGCAAGAAAGGAATGTTGAGTCCTCGTTATGTAGGTCCTTATGAAATTCTGCGCATGGTTGGCAAGGTTTCATATGAGTTGAGACTACCTAGTGAATTGGCTTCGGTTCATCCGGTGTTCCATGTCTCCATGCTTAAGAAGTGTATCGGTGATCCCAATTCCATTCTTCTTATTGAGAGTCTAGGTGTGCAAGAGAACCTCTCTTATGAGGAGGTTTTGGTTGAAATCCTTTCTAGACAAGTAAGGACATTAAGGAACAAAGAGGTGGCTTCCGTAAAGGTGTTATGGAAGAACCACCTAGTTAAGAGTGAAACATGAGAGGCCGAGGCCAACATTAAGTCCCGTTATCCTCATCTATTTGATAACTAAGGCTAGTTGTTCCTATTTATAGTGAAAGTAATGATTTTTTTTATTTGAAGTTCCCTTGTTTTTTGGTGAAATATTGAAGCATATGTTGGGATACAGTGATTTACAGGGAATTATTCCTATAGAATTGAATGGTTTTCCAGAAAATGCTCTTTTACTTGATTTGAACTTATATGGTGTATTTTGGTATATTGTTAGGCTCTAGATTAGGCTTTACACTTTTGGAGTACTATATTATCCCCCCTAGGAACATTCGTCCCTGATGACACTAAAATTGTTTAAAGTGAAGATAGACTCAAGAATAGCAACCCAACCAACAATACTTCAAAACGTGAGTAACAATTCAAATCAACATGTCAACATAACCACATGACCTTTTACACAATGCAACTCAAAACATCATTTTCAACTCATAAGAGTTCAACATTCACTACGTGCGGTTTGCAGGACGATTGGTCCAAGGCACATATGTATTTATACATTTTTGTATACCTACACCGTTTGTCGTGCTTGGAGCTACAAAAGTTTCATTGTAAGGCCCTCAGTAATGACTCCCATCAACTACTATAGTCGGATATTTTTTCAATGCCAAATTGTCTGTTTGATTTGGTTTGCAGTTCAGTTTTGGTCAACAGTGGATCATTGTGAGCACGGTGTTACAAATAAAAAGAAAGGATTGACCGTATTCGTTTCCACTTGCAATAAGGTAATAAGCAAGAAAAGCAAGCGTAGATGAAAATTGTGTTTAGTCAGATGAGAGATGAAGAGTAATGATGTTTTGTAAACACATCATATTGATATTCTCTTTTCCACTTGGGATTACGTACAGAAAAGGAAAACACTTTTAATAGAATGGCTGCAGATTCACAAAATTATATTTTCCGGAGGAATCCACGAACTTCAGTAAGAAAGTTATGCAGATTCTTTCTAAACTTTTGGTAATTTGGCCGATCAAGTGTCGAAGATAGACTGTTGGATCTTGTGAGTGATTGGAGTGCATTTGTCAACCTTGATCTGAAACCTGTGTCACACTGCTTCTCTATCAACTCACTTCCCAACTTCTGCACCAAATGTAAACTTGTTTCACTCAGTAACCATTTTGATATAAAAAAAATATACAGTTATTCAAGAATGGGGATTATGCCTGGTATAAACTTTGTTCACAGAGGATTAACGGAAGAAGAGCATCCGCAGCTGAGCCAACAAGATCAGTGCTGAAATTTAAAAATAAAAAAGAAGAATCAAATACTAGAGCATAGCAACAGTTTGTGAATGAAATACTATGGGCAATCACATCTAATCCATTCACTATGGATCATAAACTAGTCCTCTAAACATTAAATCCTTCAGCCTCTGCTGGTTACGTTTTTTTTTTCCAACTCACCTGTAATCCTCAAAGAGGAGAAACTGTAGCAATGATCGAAGAAATTGGCTTAGAATCCCTTCCTGAAAGTTTCCTGTCTGATCCTTGTAACCTGAAGCATGGAGACCTAACCCCACTTCTCCAGCACTTTTTTGCTTGTAATGGAAAGAAGCAAGCCCTTTAATAGCTCTTAGACATAAATCAACAACCTCTGCATCCTATCACACAAACAACAGAACACAGTGATCTTGGTTTCTACCTCTAGTAATATCATAAGTCACAATACAACTAAGTAATTATTTCTCTTTTTTGAAGTAAGGGTAACTAAAGGAACTATTTCTTGTTAATCAGTGTAGCATGGTGGACAATTACACCAACTTCATTTTGAAATGATGCCTACACTCACTTAAGCACTTCCCAGCATGAAATAGTACATAAAATCATAAACCACAGACATCTTATTGTGTGGGAAGGTTACCTGAGACAGACCGAAATCAAGAGTCTTAATGATATGAAAAAAAGCTTCTCCATTTAGTTGTGTAATCATTTCAGGATATACCTCCAACATATGTGATAGCAGCGAGAAGTACTGTGCAGATGAAATGGATTATTTATTTTATTATATATGGTTATTATCACTCCAGAAAAAAAAATTAAAGGGGAAAACCTACATCATGACAAAGCTTGGGGTACTTGAGCAGGTCCAAACTTATCAGAGGCGTAACTATGTGAAGTCCCATATATACCACCTGCAATAGAGTTGCTTTGAGATTATTGTACCTTGGCAGGAAAAATAAGTAAAGGAAGAAACTCATGAACACCACCTGACAAATATTTGTCCCCTGAGCTTCAATAGGTTCTGATGAGAAGTCAACCTGCAAATAACAGTTATACCCAGGTCACCTCAGACATAGAGAACCTACAGCAAGGCAAAAGGTGACAATGGAAAAATAACGCTGATAAGATCAAGGTTTGCAGACAACACCAGGTCTTTCGAACAGAGACTAGCAAGTAATTGGAGTACAGCACGTAGATCCTTGTATCTTTCGGTATCAGCTTCACTCCGCAAGCTGCTTGAAATGCTCAGAGATATCTGAATGCACATTGGTTTTCAGTACAATATCTTCTCATTTACTATAGAACAGAATAAAAATTGCACACATTGTCATTTGTACAAAAGAGATGTTTTACTTTTTCTTTTCCTTCTTCATTGAGATAACATGATGATTGACATAACTCAATGAGCTAGTGACTCAATCCCTGCCAATTTCTTTTTACCGTGATTGCAGTGGACGCAAATGAGGGTATTTCCAGCTAGACAGCACAAACTTACAATTCTTGCAAGACCCGCTTTGGTTCTGTGGGAAATTTGTTCACTTTTCTGTTTTTATCTTTTATTTAAACTCTTGGAGTTGCCTCATTAGTCGGTTTGTTAGAATTTTGATTATTATAGACTTGTCACTAGTGTTAAGACTTTTCTTTTTATATTTTCGAGATGAATGTAGTGTTTACTGTATTTTTTTTTCAAACTGGTAACTTCGAACATTGTATTAACTGTGTTTTAAACAGATGATGGATATTGGTGATAACTTCTTTTGGTTGGATAGTGTTTCTTGTGTGCTTTAGTTGAGACGGCAAATTTTTTTTATAACACTAGAAATCGAAAAAACTGGCTCATTTTCTAAAAAACACAAATAAGGTTTGCTTTAGGTCTCTACCCCAAAATGCCACTAATGGCCTGAGATTGGATTGTGACATATTCTGTCAACAATTAACAAAATCACTTATGTGTTTTTGTTTACTGTGCGCTCATTAACATAGAGTTAGAAGCAATGAGGTGCATGCCATACCACCTTGATACCCGGCAGAGAGGTGCAGAGCTCCATAGCTTTTCACCCAACTCCATACTTTAAGCAACTTAAACAGAGCCATTAAGAACACAATTCTTTCTAATCTATTCTCTACATCCAGTGAAAAGTTCAAAATATGTTTCTTACGAACAACTGCAGACTTCACAAATGAGGCAAACAGTCAGAAATTAGAACTCATAAAAAAATAATAGTATTTTGGGTCGTAACCACAATTGATCTCAATTCTAAAACTAGAAGTAAACCAAAGTGAAAACATAAGAAACTACTGAACAACATCAACAAATATCTCACAACTGATCAGTATTATAACTAGCATGTCAAAAATCAAGCTTTGTAGATTGTTAATTTTTAAAAATATGTGGAGTAAATTTGGTGGTTACATCCTACAATTCTAACAGTTCAGGACAACATGGCAGTTTCAGTATCAGACAATTTTGTGACGCATCTTCTTCCCATAATAGCCTAATAACCACCCACTAGCAAGAATTTAGAAGAGGTTGGTTAACACTGTTCCACTTTCTATTCTGAGTGTGTTAAATTCTTGCTTTATCTCCAATTTACATCTATTCTTTTTTTATGACAAGGGAAACCCGCCAATTTACATATATCTTTCACGAGCTTTTAACATATATTTCAATATTCAGACTAAAGTGTGTGCCCAAAAATCTAGTTTCAAGTACTACAGAATAAACTTAAAAGACACTAACACAGAAGAAAAGAGCAAGGGAAAATATATCATATATCATTCCCACAGGGCAATGACTGCATAACTTAGTCAGCTGAATTATATATACTGATCAGCTATTGGTGAAAGTGATGATTGGTAAGACTCCCTAGAATGGTAAGCTTTAACAAGAAATTTGTGAGTAGGTTTATTTAACCAACCAAACACTATGGGCCCGTTTGGACATACGGTATTAAATCATAATATGAAATAAACACGTTAAACATTTTAAATTATATGTCCAGAATTAATTCTTATATATCTATATCTATCCATATCTATATTTATTTACACTACCTTAAAAGGATGAACTTCCTAACTTGAATGTTTAATCACTGTAATATCCCCAACTTAAAACACCCATTTAGTATATAATCTACATTTTAATTAATTTATTTATTTACATCTTTTCACATTGATGGGTAGTGACTTTTTTATAAAGTTGTGACTTTTTCGATGATTTCTGGAGTGTTGTGACTCATTTGATAGGGCACGATAAACACCTTTTCATATTACCATTAGTTGTCTATAAATAGCGGGGTTTTCTCACTTTTAAACTACGAATTTTGCAAGTTTTCTATTTTTCTTCTTAAAACAAGGATGATTGTGATATTTGTTCAATTATACAATAACAATATTTTTTGTGGTAAATGAGATAGGTCAACAAAAATTGATGCAACAAGGAGAATAAAATAACTAAACTTCAAAGGAGAAGACTATCTTGATAATTAGTATTTACTCAGTTTTATAGCCAAAAATATACTTTTGTAGCAACTTCTACATCACAAGAAGTTCAATGATTTTCCATTGCACAAACTAGAACTTGGTGTTTAGGTCAGTGTTTTAGACGGTGAAAGGCAATAAAAGGCGACAAGTATTTGCCAGTAGTGAGGCACTCACCTTTTTGAAGTGCGGCACCAATTAATACCAAAAAAACTATATATTAATTGCATTGTAAATAATCAAACTCTCAATATCACTAACATACTAGCAAATATTTTAATCCAAAAACTGAAAATAGATAGTATATACAAAAAGTCTAGAACTTGAATGAGAAAAAAAAAGTTAAAACAAAGGTAATTATGACTCTGAAGTCCGAAGAAGGAAAAAGAAACGGAAAGAAGAACTTTGAAGAAAAAAGGAAGAAATATGTATCAGTTTGACTTTGGAATAGTAGAAAAGTTTTGCAGGTCGACGGAGAGGTTGAGTCATAAACACTAAAATTACCTTCTAACATTTAGAATCCTAAATTGGTCGCCTTTTTTAAGGAAGTACAAAGGGGACACCTTTCTCGCTTTTATTGCCTCTAACCTTTTGTCGGCATGGCGTCACCTTTCAAAGATTACCACACCACAAAGCTAAAAGACGATGAAGGGTCGCTTTGCCTCTCGCCATTGACGATGAGGGGATCGCCTTTCAAAACACTGGACTTTAGGTTCTGAAAAGTCTCATATTGTTAGAGAAAAAACATTTGATCAAAAACTTGTTTGAAGAGTCCAAACTAGATTTAACAAGTACTCTTTCGTTTCCAATTTATTTTTTTGTACTTTTTAATTCAGTTTAATATAAAATATTCTTTTTTCTTGGGGGTGGGGGCACATCTTTAAGACCACAAAGTTAAAAGATATTTTTATATATTCTACATATGATCCTTAAATTAAAATTCTTCTTTATTTTTTAAAATTTTTAAACATTAGACAAAGCTATATCTATCTTTTCTTTGTATCTATCTATACTGCCTTACAAGAATGAACTATCTCACTTAAATGTTAAATTATTACGATACACCAACTTAAAACACTAAATTTAGTATATCTTCGATATTTTATATTGTATTTTATTTATTTATTGATATCATATATATATAAGAAAACCCTAGACGCGCCTACGTGGTGCCACCACAAAGCAGGATTCCCTTTTAGTTTTTTTTTTAATTTCTAGAACTAGCATTCCTCTTTTATGAAAAGTTTTTTATGAAAAAGTTGTAACTTTTATTAAAAGTTGCAATTTTTATGAATAGTTGCGACTTTTATCAACGGTTGTGACCTTACCGAAGGGTTACAACTATTTCAAAGAGTTGTGACCTCTTTGATAAGACACAATTAGTATTTGTTCACCCCCACCTTTTGTTGTCAAAATAGAGGAATTTCCTCTTATTTTAAAATAACGTAAAGTTTGAACTACTTTTTCATCTACACAATTGAATTTTGTGTATTTTGCTCATGTTAAATGGCCCACTGACACCATTTATTTGTTTCTCCGTTCTGTTTAATTCTATTGCTACAGATCCCAGTATGTTTTTCTACGATCATTAATTTATGCTCATATTATTAATTGTTATTTTTTAGTACTTTTGATCTCTTTTGTCTTATGTTTTTGCAAAATTATTGTTATGAGTATTTATTAGTACAAATTAAATAACAAACGTTAACTGAGTATTCAAGCAAGTTTTCTCTACTGGAACTATTGAAGGTACGACAAAAAAAGCCCTTACAAATCTCTAATTTCATCATCAACGTCATTCCTTCACATACAAGGATGAGGCTGTGTTCTTTAGAAAATCCTCTGAGATCTAATAATTTTTCATGCCCATATTTTTTTGGTTTTTATGTTTTTGTTATCTATTTTAACTAAATTTTATCATTGGATATTTTGAGAACTATAACGATTGAAAGTTTATTTAAGCGTTGGTCAATTTTTTTTATGTATGTCAGTTCAAAGTATATGAACTTTTCTGGTTAGAATGATTTATTATCATCATTGGATATCTTACAATTTACTCCCCTTAATGTATGTTTTTCACGCTATTGTGTTGTCTCCTTGAAATTGTATTGATTATTTTTCGTTTTGTATGTATTTGACCTTACTTGGATAAAGCTTTCGTCCTTTTAATATTTTTCTTTTTTTCCTTCTCATTCGGCTCTTCTAAATATATTTGGTGTGAATTATGACTGCTTTCGGAAAGCTTAATTTGAAGATTATGAAATAAAATCTGCTCTAAATAAAAGTTATATCTTGAGTAACAAAAGATATGTCTATTAACATATATTTGTTTTCCTTTATGTCCCAAGTCATTGTTGAGCGTTTGAGTTATCTAGGTTATATACATTTTTAATTTTTTAATGTTCGAGAGTATTTCTTTGACATATATCTAGAACCCAACATTTTCATCTAGGTTATATACATTTTTAATTTTTTAATGTTTGAGAGTATTTCTTTGACATATATCTAAAATCCAACATTTTCATCTACTTGTACTTTCGGAATGAAATAACTATACGTACATATTTTTGAAAAAAGACATAAAGTTGCATTGATGAAGCATCTAGAAGGGCATTTAGAAGTAGTTTAATGAAAAATCAATTTCTAAAATGGTACACAATATATTATTTTTTTGTCGTTTAAAAATTTATTTTCCTCCTTTAAATTTTGTTAGGCTAACAAAGTGACAATAACAAAAAGTGGTGAACGTTTCATACAAGTAGATTGTCTCTAAAAATATTTATTTATTTTGTTGTGGTTTACATTTGTAACGGTCGTAGCTTATTCATAATTATTATTAATTCCAAAAACGTTCACATAATTTTACTTTCACATGGAATTATTCTAACCATAAAATTATCAGATTCTATATTTTACATGTACAAAAATGGAAAAAGTGATGACTAATCGCTTCATAAAAATATCACTTAGTTTTAACAGGACAATTATATCTTCAAACATATATTATGATAAATTATGTAAAAGAAAGAAATGATTCGATATCAAGATATTTTTAGTCATTTATAATATATTTACAATTCTTGAGATATTTGGTAATGTCATATAATTTAATTTCTATTGAAATGTTCTTAAAACCTACTAAAATTTACTTTTTTTTTCTTATAATAATCTATTATTTGAAAGGTTGTCCAAAATCGTAGAAAGATTATTTATGTCTGCACTTCGCGCAATTTTTGTTACCTAGTAATATTATATTAAAGACAGAAACCTTTTCACATTGAAGGGTTTGACATTTTCAAAGAGTTATATTGTAACTTTTTTACAGAATTGCGAATTTTCCAAAGAGTTGTGACATTTCCGAAGGGTTGCAACTTTTGAAAAGAGTTATGACTTTTTCGATGGGTTGTGAGTTTTCTACAAGGTTGTGACTTTTTTGTGTTCTTCTTCTTCTTAAAACACACAATTTAGTATATCTTCTATATATTATATCAAAAGAAGAAACCATTTGACATTGAATGGTTATAATTTTTGAAAAGAGTTCTAACTTTTACAACGAATTGTGACATGTCTAAAGGGTTGTCACTTTTATGATAAGAAACAATATGTCCATGCTATTACTACACCTTTTAAACTATAAATTAAGGGGTTCCCTCACATTTTTATGTTTTCTATTCTGCTCTTCTTAAAAAATCAAGTTTGATTTACCGACATTACAAGCTCAAAGTTCAATGAAATTAGAACAATCCCTAACATGATGTTAAATTAATCTAATACTCCAACTAAAAACATCCAATTTAGTATATTTTTGTATATTTTATATCAATATTTATTTATAGTATATTGTATTTAAAGTTAGAACTCCAACAATACAATAATAACTAAGTAATGCACTATGGGGAAGGGAGGAGAATGTATTTTTTAGAGGAATAACTAAGAATTTTAAGAGTGACTAACTTTCCGTAGTAATCATAAGAAAATTACATCCACTATTCATACAAACTTATACTTTATCATTTTTTTTTTATAATTGTTTACTTAATTTTTTTACTTAATAATATTCACATTGTTTTTAAAAATATTGTGGTACATGATTTGATATTCACGTGCAACGTATTTATATATATATATATACACGCACACGCACACCTACACACATAATCTGAAGAGGAGACCCTCCCCCGGGTTTGGATATGAGAGGAGGACATGCGTAAATGCACCAGTGAGAAGGTGTGAGGTTGGTTGTAGAAGGTATGAGGAGAGGCAGAGGTAGACCAAAGAAGTATTGAGGAGAGGAGATAAAATAGGATATGACACAACTTAAGTTAAAGAGGACATGACCTTAGATAGAAGGGTGTAGAGGACACGTATTAGGAGAGATGTTTGTTAGATAGAGTAATCTTGTCTTGCTTAGGGTGACTAGTAGTTGACATGGTACTAGTTGTATTATTCCAGTTGATTTTGTATTTTTGTTTTCGACTCCTTTCGAGTAGACTTTGCATTGCTACCTTGTTACTTGCTATATTGTCTTCATTGTCTCCTCCTTTGTACCTAGATTTGTTGCACTTGAGCTGAGGGTCTTTCGGAGTTCTACCTCCACGAGGTAGTGGTAAGGTTTGCGTACATTTTACCCTCTTCGAACCTCAGTTGTGAGATTACACATGGTATATTGTTGTTGTTGTTATTTCATATAGCATGTCCAAAAGCAAGCTAATTAATAAAGAATAAATGTTTTTTTGGTTCGATGACTCACTTTATAGTTTATGTTGGAGGTCTAACATCGTAACAATCAGGGTTATGAAATAATTACATAACTTATCACTGGTCAATACCTCTTCCAACTTCTTCTAGAACAATTTTTGGGTAACATGTTATAAAAAATACAAGAGTGAATTGATAAAAAATTACCTTTTGTTATATTGTGGGAAGAGTAAAGCAGAAATAGGCGCTTACAGAATTCAATAACCATTATTTCACAAACTTTAAGGTGTATGTTGAAGGTGTAACATTGTAACAACCATAGTTATGCAATAATTAGACTACTTCTCACAGGTCAATATCTCTTCCAACATCTGCCAAAAGAATTGGGTAACATGTTCTAAAAAAATAGAAAAGTTAATGATCAAGTTACCTTGCCGATATTATGGGAAGAGTAAATCTGAAGTACGCGCATACAGAATCCGACAACAATAGCCGTTTCACGAGCTTCTAGGTAAATGATTTGTCCATCCACCCAATCAACCACAAATCTGAGTAACAGATACACAACTGTGGACTACAAAAAATTGAAAGATTAGATCATGTAATTTCACATTATGATGTCACACTAGAATAGCTAAAGCTGTTCAAAATTTAAGACAGGCTTACTTATTGCATTAGAATTCATAAAAAGAATGGCATGGCCGTTGATAAAAATCATTGACATATTAGGCCAATCAGTAATAAACTAAAGTTGGTTCACTAAAATTGAACTGGAACCCATCACGTAGGTAGAGCGAGAACTTGAGTGCAATATCATACCTTGATTTTAACCTTTAATAGAAAATAGTCTTTTCTTTAGTGATACACAACGAACTATTATATTATGAATTAAAAATCAAGTGATCCTAAATATTTTGGTATCTGCTTAACTCTAAAATTGCAACCCAACTTGCAAATTTAATTTTCAAGCACCACTTTTGAAAATTGAAATATTGTTCTCTAGTTTTTAGCTGCCCATAACAGAAAGTGAGAAATTGAAGAAACCCAATCTGAACACCTACTGGTGCTGGAAAACCCACATGTAACATTTAATTTATAGTTGTGCTGAGAAGGGTCAGCAGCGTAAGACATGCATACTGGAAAGAAAAATGACAACAAGCAGCACTCAAGGTTTTATCTCGATACAGGGGGATATAATTTTAGGATAAAAAATACATCAGCACTGTAAATCTTTAACAGTTTAGCAGCACGAAAAACTAAGGAACCATATAATCCACATAACCTTATGGTATAATGACAACATGTTCAGCTAAAGGGAAAAGCTCAAAACCAACTCTCCAAAGCACACATTTGAATCAACAGTTATTATCTCATATACTTTATACCTCATGTTTGTAAACTTCCATAAACATCAAGAGTGGATTTAGTACTGAATAACCCATCTCATAAATAGCTCTCTGTGTTCGAGGTTCTGTCGCACTAGCAGCACCACGAAGTCGCTCCAACAAGCAACTGACCTATGCATTATCACAGATTTACTAAGAAACCAACGCTAAAAGCTATAATTCTTTTCCAGACTGTTCTTACCAATAAAATAATATCTGGCTGTTCAGCTACACATTTTAGATCACTTCGGTTTGAGAGTTCCACCAGATTAGCAGCCATATGGTTTGTCAAATTTATCACATACCTAAGAACAATTGCAATGACAATTCGTCCAATATTAGATGTTCAACAAATTAAAATAATAAAAAGCAAAAAGAAAAAAAAGGAAATAAGAAAGAATATCTACTTACTGGCTGCAGGCCTCTGGAGTTTTCATGCCAGAAGCTGAAAGAACAAAGGTTTGAGCAAGCGAACGCTGTAATAAGACAAAGAACAGTTAGAGTTGGCAGGAAATATTACATTAGAAATTTAAGGGAAACCCATGTTTGGTGTAGTGGTATGTTGGTAAATGAAGCTATAAGAACCTACAAAAACATCCCTCTCCACTCCAAACTCAAAGGATGGAGAAGTCTTTGAGGACTCGCTTACCTTCCAATTCAAGGGTCGTTTTTTAAGAGTGGATAACAGTTATGCTAAATAGAGTATATTAGTAATATTTTTATTAGTTTTGCTTGCATTAATTGTGCAGAGATTATTTCTTATGCATTGCTTGGTTTGGTGTACTATGCATTGCAGAATTTTTTTTAAAAAATATTTATGTAAAAAGGTGCTGAATTTCATGCTTAAAGAATAAACATTTGGTACCACAGCTAACACGTTTGGGTGGTGGGTTTTACGTAGCTTATGATATCAAATGTTATTCAATAAAATAACTTACTCTATAAAAATAATATTTTTATTTGATTTATAACATAAAGTGAGTTGAAAGACAACTTATTTCGTATTTGAATTATTTCAACAAATATAAGGTCATTTTTAGTGTTAACAGCTTTAAGGGCAATTCAGTCACTTCAAAAGGAATTCATCTGAAAAGCACTTTTCCAACAAACATATCAACCACTTATTTTATGTTATAGCATTTCTAGACAAACATGTAACTAGTTTTTAAATTCAGCTCCAGCACTTCAAAAGTGCTTAAAATCTCAAGTACTTTAAAGCTACTTTTATTCAATTCAACTAATCCAAACGTGCTCCAAGCCAATGAGCTCTCTTCTATTTTCACATGGTTTAAGAGCCTCTACGATCTTGGTAGAAACTCAAATGGATTCTGCTACCGAAAGGCGGTATCACAATATATGCCACTCGGAAGACCAATATTTCATTTCTTCTCTCTTTTTGTGTTCAACAGCGATACTCTCTTCGACAGCTGGTGCCTTCATCTTCGGCGACTATTCAAGTGCCAATAGTCTCTCTAGGATTGCTTCCGCACCATTTTGTTTCAAACAACCAGCCCAGCTACATATTCATGAGCAACGACCTCTGACATTGTTCCGCATTGATAACGTCTTTGAGATTTCCTCTACCATATCTCTCAATCGATAGAGTCCTTCAAGTGTATATTGCAAGCAACACTTTATTTCGTTTTGCAGTTACCAGCTGCTAACAGGTGAAAGAACTCTAGATACAGTATCTTTTGTTATTGTGTACTACTCCAACAAGATTTAGGTGTGACCCTTTCCAAGTTACTAAAATAAGCAAATTCAATTTGGTTTAGGCACATGAAGTCTAGGAGAACCTATGAGAATATAAAGTGAATTTGTGCTACATTCTTAGAAGTCATTATACTAGAATTAGTAAAATCAAATAGGATATTTTATAGGATACCATATGTATTTCATTATAGAATATTTACAACCCTAGTAGTAAAGGGTTTGATTACCTACCGTATTATAGTATCCTAGGACAGTAAGACTCCTATATAAGGTGCACGTTTGTACATTGTCAATTAAGTCAATGATCTATTTTCACATAAAAAGAATCACAAGTATGGATTGGTACCTGGTGAGCAGCATTTAGTGAGAATAGAGTTTGTTCATTTGCAAAAGCATTTGCCAACTCACGCCATGAGTCCTGCAAGACAAATAATGCAGATTGGGATGAATATGATATTCCAATCATTACTCCCGACTAAGAATCCAGGAAGATATTACCTGTTCCAGCACATGGAGATTAAGTTGATCATAAATTCCTCTCTAAACATTTAAAATTTTTATAGTACGACAAATAATATAGAACATAGATACTTTTAGTCTTAATCAATATCTCTATGTATTGAGGATGAGATAGGACTAAACAACAACAATAAGCAAAGCTCAGTTCTGATGGCGGATTAGATAGAACTGAAACTAAAATCTCTATCCACAATTGACTGACAGAAAGATGAGCAATAAAAAGAGGAAACATAATTGGTGTGTGGAAGATACCCAATGCCAAGCAATCTTATCTGGAACCCTCCATGCAAAATTAAAACCCAAAGAAAAACAGAACCACCTCATCAAGGGTTCAAACATGATATGGAAATAGTACTACTCGTCTAAGGACCCACCAATTCAACAAGGTGCACACAAACATTCTTCCGCCGAACAAGTCCATGAAGCAACTCATGACAAGTTAGTGCCTGTCAAAATGAAAGGAGAATGTATCAGAGCTGCTGTAATGAACAGTCTCAATAAACAGCAAGGAAATAACAGATTACCCGAAACAACACTAGAGAAGTTCAATCATAGTAGCAAGTTCCTAATAAAACATTAATGTGCTGATATTGTTTATCATACTGACAAAAACTGATTATTGTTTCAGATGGAATGCTCTAATTTTAATTAAGAACAGTGCTGCTGTGATAAATATATGAGAAATCTTATTGAATTGTGTATCTAAATTGTTACATTGATACCCTATTCATAGACACTACATTGGAACTTTTTTCCGACTAGGATTCCTATTCCTATTTCTATTCTAAGTAGGAAATACTTATTTCTATTCTAACACTCCCCCTCAAGCTGGTGCATACAAATCATATGTACCTAGCTTGTTACATATGTAATTACTCCGAGGACATGTGAGCGACTTGGTGAACATATCTGCAACCTGATCATTTGACTTCACGAATTTTGTAACAATATCTCCGGAAAGTATCTTTTCTCTGACAAAATAAAAGTCAATCTCAATGTGCTTAGTCCTTTCATGAAACACTGAATTTGATGTGATATGAAGAGCCGCTTGATTATCACACACAAGTTCCATCTGATCAATTTTGTCAAATTTTAGTTCTCCCAGCAATTGTTTGAGCCAAATTAGCTCATAAGTTGCTGTCTCCATTGCTCGATATTCTGATTCTGCACTAGATCGAGCAACCACATTCTGTTTCTTACTCTTCCACAACACCAAATTATCTCTAACTAAAACACAATATCCGAATGTCGAACGTCTGCAAGAGGGTGATCCTGCGCAATCAGCATCTGTATATCCAATGATATGCTCATGGCCATGATCCTCAAAGAGTAGTCCTTTGCCTGGAGCTGACTTTATATATCGCAGAATACGAACAACCGCTTCTCAATGACTATCACAAATGGAATCATAAACAGACTTACAACACTCAAGGGAAAAGAGATGGCAGGTCTAAGGTCTAGTCACTATGCGATAATTCAAATTTCCAACAAGATGTCTATACCTTTCAGGATTACAAAGTGGCTCCCCCTGTCCCGGAAGAAGTTTAACATTCGGATCCATAGGAGTGTCAATAGGTCTACATCCCATCATTCGTGTCTCCTTAAGAATGTCTAAGGCATACTTGCATTGAAAAATAACAATACCTAATATAGGCTGAGCAACCTAAATATCTAGAAAATACTTCAATCTGACAAGGTCTTTAGTCTGAAAGTGCTTAAAGAGATGTTTCTTTAAATCAGTGAAACCATCTTGATCATTACCGGTGATAAAAATATCATCAACGTAAACAACCAAATAGATACATCAAACTGGTGCAGAATGTCGATAAAACACAGAGTGATCAGCTCCACTACGAGTCATGCCAAACTCCTGAATTACTGTGGTGAACTTCCCAAACCAGGCTCGTGGAGACTGTTCACGACTATAAAGTGACCTACGTAATCGACAAACAAGGCTACTAAACTCCCCCCAAGCAACAAAACCAGGTGGTTGCTCCATATAGACTTCTTCCTCAAGATCATCATGCAGAAAAACAGCCTTAATGTCCAACTGATAAAGTGGCCAATGACGAACGGTAGCCATAAATAGAAAAAGACGAACATATGCTATTTTAGCCACAGGAGCGAAAGTGTCACTATAATCTAGCCCAAATATCTGAGTATACCCTTTGACAACAAGGCGAGCCTTAAGTCGATCAACCTGACCGTCTCGACCAATTTTAACTGCATAAACCCAACAACAACCAACAATAAATTACCTATAGGAAGAGAGACAAGCTCCCAAGTACCACTCTTATGTAAAGCAGAGATCTCGTCAACCATAGCTTGCCTCCATCCAGAATGAGAAAGTGTTTCACCTGTAGTCTTAGGAATGGAAACAGAGGACAAAGACGACACAAAGGCATAATGGAGTAATGATAGACGATGATAACTTAAGAAGGTATAATGGGGGTTAGTACTTCGAGTAGATCATATACCTTTTTGAAGTGCAAGCGGTGGGCTAGGTGGAGGCAAGTGCGCAGTAAGAGCAGGGTCAGGCGCACGACATGAATCATCTGAGACTAGGGTTGGACGTGGACGGCAATGATAAGTTAGTAGTGGTGGCACTACAACTGGAGATGTAGAAGTAACTGTATTCCTCAAAGGTTGGCACACGTAAAACTTGAGGTATTGGTAAGACCATAGATACATCAGGATGATTAGGAGATGTATAGAAAGGCTAAGAGTTAAAAAATGTAACATCAGTGGACGTAAGGTATCGATGAAGATCATGTGAATAACAACGATGCCTTTTTTAGACTCGAGATTAACCAAGAAAGACACATTTGAGGGCACGAGGAGCTAATTTATCTTTTCCTGGGGCTAAGTTATGAACAAAGCATGTGCTCCCAAAGACACGAGGGGGATAGGATAGAGATGTGACTGAGGAAACAGCATGGAATGTGGAACCTGATTCTAAATAGAAAAAGAAGGCATTCTATTTATCAAATAACAAGACGTAAGAACTGCATCTCCCCAAAAATGCAACATTAGATTCAAGGAGAACAGTACGAGCGGTCACAAAAAGATGCCGATTTTTTCTTTCGGCTACACCATTTTGTTGAGGGGTGTATGGACAAGTAGTCTGGTGAATAATGCCTTGGTGAGTCATAAACTCCTGAAATTGAGAGGATAAGTATTCTAAGGCATTATCACTACGAAAAGTACGAATAGAAACCCCAAACAGATTTTGTATTTCAGGAAAGAAATTTTTGAAAATAGAAAATAACTCAGAATGATCTTTCATAAAAAAAATAAGTACATCTTGAATCATCATCAATGAAACTAACAAAATAAAGAAATCCTAAGGTGGAACTGACTCTACTAGGACCCCAAATATCATAATAAACTAATGAAAAAATAAACTCTCAACAACCTTCAGTACTACGAGAAAACGTAGCACGAGTGTGTTTCCCAAGTTGACACGACTCACAATCTAATGTTGATAAACTAGACAAACTAGGCACCATCTTTTGCAGCTTGGATAGACTCGGATGTCCCAAAAGTTTGTGAATTAGATCTAGGGAATCTGTAATGGAGCATGATGTTAAGGAATTCGAAGAGGTAAGATAGTAAAGGCCTTGTGATTCATGTTTTGTTCCAATCATCTGTCCCGTAATGCGGTCTTGTATGAGATAAAAATCATCGAAAAAAGTTATGCAACATGGTAGGGCTTCCGTCAAACGACTAACAGATGCTAGATCAAAAGGAGAACCAGAGACATAAAGAACAGAGTCTAGGGTGACAGAAGATAGAGGTTTGGCTTTTCCAACCCTTTTTGGTTTTGTCTGGATCATATTGGCTAAAGTAATAGCTGGAAGAGATTGCGAATAAACAATATTGGATAAAAGTGATTATACCAGAGATATGATCAGAAGCCCCAGAGTCCATGACCCATGTTCCAAGAGTACTAGATTGCGACAGAGTACTAGATTGCGACATACAAGCAAAAGAATTACCCGCAACAAACACATCAGGTTGTGCAACGGAAACTACTTGAGATGTTTGATCATGTGCACGATACTGAAGGAACTCATCATATTCTATCTGAACAATACGAGCATTATTGGATGATTGATTATGTTAAGCACCATATGCTACTGGTGGAGATGTCTGTTTACTTGCGCGATTTCGAAGGAACTTATTATATTCCTTTAGAACAATAGGATCATAACTGGGTGGTGGACCATGCAAAATATGACATGTCACGAGTGTGTCCAAGCTTATGACTATGACTACACTTGGATCGTGATTTCCCAAAACGTCCTCCCTCGCCGATACTCCATAGACTAATATGTACGCTTTTCAAGGTTTGAGATGCGAGAATTGAGGAGTCAACAGTGGGTGAAAAAAATACTTTGTGATTAGGTGCCGCAAGACGAAGGAGACGAGAGAATAATTCATCGATTGTAGAAACTGTAGGGTGCTAAAATCTGAACACGCACAGAATCATGATCAAGAGAAAGTCCAGCAAGAGTAAGAACTAGAAACAATGTTTGTTTGTGTTATTGTTGTTTTTTCACATTCATTGTTACTGACATCAACATGTCGAATTCCTCCATCACTGCTTGTACCTGTAACAAGTAGGTAGACATCGAATTCTTGTTTCTTTAAGTTGGTCAATCGAGATATCACATCATAGAATCGAGATATGTCATTAGTGTATAAAGCACAAGCCTTTTTCGAAACTGTATAACATGTTTGGAATGGGCGAAACAAGGACATCAATTTGGAATCAATCGAACGCCATAGGAGACTACATGATTAAGCATCTATTGTCTCTCAATGTGCTTTGGCTTTTGCATCTCTCACTAGTCTTTGCCTTTACATCTATCACATAAGTCCTGTTCGTTAAATGATCTTGGACACCTTCACCCTTGCACCACAACTCAATCGACAAAACCCTAGATAAATAGTTTGAACTTCCCAATAAAAGTTTTGAAGTGATTGTAGCGCTAGAACTCCAATTCCTATATTTTTAGAACGAAAAAACATCACCCAAAAGACATTATGCTAAATTTGTCTTGGGAACAACAAAAAAATCATGATTATTGAGATCTCATTGTCGGAAAATTCAAATCTCGAAAAAAATAAAAAAAAATTGTCTAAAACAGCCTGAAAATAGTCGGAACTCTAATTCCGGTGATCGAATCTGGTTAAAAAAAGCATGGGCTGGGTAAGAATGGCTAGACGACCCTAGCTGTCGAAAAAGTTCTAAAAAATATGGTCGAAAAAGCCCTTATGCGCCGGCGTGTGAGCTTTATTTCGCTGAAAACTACCACCTTTGATCGGCACATGGGAGCGCGTGCAGTGGTGTTTTCCGGTAGTTCTGGTTGGGGTTTGGTCACGGGAGCTTTCCGAGCCTCAGGGTGGAGTTGGTTTTCGCACAATACCCACAGAATAAAAATTGATAAAATCAATCCCAATCGTCATCGGAAAATTGACAGACATATGGTGATTTGTTTATTCTCACCAATACTTTAATACCATGTGAGAAATACATGAGAATATTATTGAATTGTCTATCTAAATTGTTACATTGAGACCCTATTTATAGACACTACATTGGAACCCTTTTCCGACTAGGATTCATATTCCTATTCTTATTCATTATTCTATTCTAAGTAGGAAATACTTATTTCTATTCTAACAACTATATTTAGCAGTTTGGCATTACTCGTAGTGGAAGCTAATCACTCGGTGTTTTATCAGCATTCTGCACAAAGTCAATGTATCTATTTGGTTGTTTACGTTGATGATATTGTTATCACTAGTAATGATCAAGATGGTATCACAGATTTGAAGCAACCTCTCTTTAAGCACTCCAGACTAAAGACCTTGGCAGATTGAAGTAATTTCTAGGCATTGAGGTTGCTCAATCTAGATCAGGTATTGTTATTTCTCAACGCAAGTATGCCTCAGACATTCTTGAAGAGACAGGAATGATATGATGTAGACTTATTGACACTCCTATGGGTCCCAATGTTAAACTCCTTCCGGGATAGGGGGAGTCACTTAGTAATCATGAAAAATTAAGACGGCTTGTTAGAAAGTTGAATGATACATCACTTTTCTAGTGAATATTGTAAGTCACTTTATGACTTTCGCTTGTGATAAGTCATTAGGAAGCAGTTGTTCATATTCTGCTATATATGGAGTTAGTCCCGATAAAGGACTACTCTCTGAGGATCAAGGCCATGAGCATATCATTGGATATACAGACGTTGATCGGGCAGATCACCATCTGACAAAAGTTCAGCATCCGGATATTGTGTTTTAGGAGGAGGTAATTCGGTGTCGTGGAAGAGTTAGAAACAAAATTTGGTTGCTCGATTTAGTGAGGAATCAGAGTATCAAGCAATGGCGACAACAACTTGTGAACTAATTTGGATCAAACAGTTGGTGAAGAACTAAAATTTGGCAAAATTGATCAGATGGAAGTTGTGTGTGATAATCAAGCGGCTCTTCATATCGTATCAAATCCAATGTTTCATGAAAGGACTAGGAACATTGAGATTGAGTGTCAGACTCAGGAGATATTGTTACGAAATTCGTGAATTCAAATGATCAGCTAGTGAATATCTTCACCAAGTCCGTCACAAGTCCTCGTATTAATTACATTTGTAACAAGTTAGGTACATATGATTTGTGTGCACCAGCTTGAGGGCAGTGTTTAGAATAGAAATAAGTATTTCCTACTCAAAATAGGAATAGGAATAGGAATAGGTATCCTAGTTGGAAAAGGATTCCAATGTAGTGTCTATAAATAGGGCCTTTATGTAACAATTTAGATACACAATTCAATAATATTTTCTTCGATATTTCTCACACCTTCCACCTATCAGCAGCAACAGGTAACTCTATCACCAAGGATAGGATAGATAGGAAGAAATCACCTAGTGTTTTTTTTTGTCTCTGATAGGATTTGAACCTAAGACCTTATGGTTCTCAACCCGTTTCATTGCCCACTAAGCAAAACCCTTGAGTACCTTCATTCTTTATATTTATTATGGACTCTTTTTTCATTCTATGGGATACCAATAAATTGCCCTTATACCCTCGTCAGTCTAAACCCCAACAGTTCGTTGAGGCAGGTTGTGCCCGAGAACACCTAAATTCCTACCGAATATGAAAAAGGCGTAATTTAATGATAAAAATGCAAAACACTAGACTCACATTGAATGCACACCAGAGAAGCTGTTGTATCTTAAATAAAAAAAGAAAGTTACAAAACCAATTTATTTAAATGAGGTAATAAACACTTCAGATGTGAGGAGAAAAGTACTTCTTTTCCACAATAAGAGTGGGAAAATGCCTAGTCGGCTATACGGGCAATAAATCCAATGAAACTCGCTAACAAGTTGTTTACTTGCTTCTATCATTTACTAAGAATAAATATTTGAGATAATAGGATATCCAAAAGAATAAGGTGTTGCACTACTACGGCCTCCACACAAAATACCAGTCCTAAATTGAATGTCTTGTTTTAAATTTGGAATGACATCAAATAGTATTATCCTCTTCAAGGAAGTGCACAGATTTGGGACAGGCCAACAAGGACATGTGGACACTTTAGACAATTGCAGTCACTGAATTATGCTTGAATACAGACACACTTAGGTCATTGTGATTGTACAACGAAAGGTTGTTCTACTTCGCCTACCTGCAAATCCCTCTCTCCAGGATATGAAGTGAGCGTTGTCTTCGAAATGTGAAGAATAAGATCAAGCACTGCTTTCCCCTGGTTGTCCTCTTCACAAAAATTAAGCAATACTTTTTTGTGATGTTTTGCCTTGTGATCATCTGAAGATGCACTCATTTTATTTTCATCAAGTGGCATTAGATAAGTAGTTGACCATCTTGCAAGGAACCATACAATCGCCTGAACAGAATGAGCATATGAGTTAACCTTGAGTGTGTAACATGAAAAATATAAGCAGGTATCGAGGATGCACACAGAACTCTTGAAGTATATTAAAGAACTAGGTAAATTGCTCGCGCTTCGCACGGTGGTGAACTACATCAATAATCTACTTCTGAACATTTGATAATATAAGTGTTTTCGAGAGGGTACAACCCTATGATGAACTTTCAAGCATATTTTATCCTAAGAAGATATGAAATGTTTTTTAATCTTAAAACGAAAAAGATTTAATTCTAAGTGTTTATGAATATTGTTATTAATTCTTCATATTATTGTAGTTGTTCATCACCAAAGTCTTTCGAAAAGATATGTAATTGTTTCATTGTCTGTATTTGTATTTTCAAAAAGTGGTACAAACATTTTATTCATCAACTGCAAGAGTTCTTCTCCTATTCAAGGTCTCTACATACGAAAAATAGATATTATACATCTTATATTTAGTTGTGTACTTTATAAGTTTATTAAAATATTAGTTGTGTACTTTATAAGTTTATTAAAATATAAAAACACATCTCTTGGGTTTCAATGAAATAATGTATGTCACTCAAATAATATGGATTAAATGATGTCTTGGCAAGTCTCTTATTCAAATTCATTGACTCCAATTCAACATTTGAACCCCAAACGTTTGATTAAGGTTGAGTACAATACTTACTATCCCACTAAATTCCTTTATTTTTTGGATGTCACTAATCGATTGAATATCTCGAAAGATAGAAAGTTGAATAAATAAAACTACAAGGTAGTGTGGAACCACATAGCTTTTGAACACTTTAAGTCCCTTCTTGGACATCTCATGGATCTTTTAGCCACTAAAAACTCTATAAAAATCTAAGTCATTTATTTTACAAGTTTAAGAATTATAATCTACGTGACACCAATAGTCTAATAATTACATTAAACTCTTGATTAACATATTTTTACTTAAACATACGATCAAAAGCATAAACATAAACAAAAAAATTTAAAACATGTACTCAAAAACAAAAATTAATAAAATAAGTATAAATTAATGACCGTAAAAAACATACCATGAATTTTAATAATAAAATGAAATATAAAGGAAAACTTTGAGCCCACTGAATGCACGAGAATTATTTCATTCTAGTACCTGAGGTTTAAAGGAATAGATCCTCTCAGGACAGAATGATTATATTCGTCAGTGTGTTTATACAAAAATAATTGTGTCAGTAAGTCACTCAACTTGAGCAAAGTGCACAAATATTAAGTTGTGCAGAAGAATAAGTTCAGAATTTTCGTTGGGTATGATTAAAGAAAAAATTCCTCTATTTATGTACAACAAAGGGTAATGTAAATAAATGTTTATTGTGCCTTATCAAAAGGTCACAAATCTTTGGACAAGTCACAATCTTTCATAAAAGTCACAATTTTATTATAAAAGTTCCAACTCTTCGTAAAAGTCATAACTCTTCATTAAAGTTAACTCTTCATAAAAGTCGAAACTCTTCGTAAAATTCATAAAAGTCGCAACTTTCCGTAAAAAGTCGCAACTTTTCCTAAAAGTCACAACTTTTCATGACAGGGAAGGCTAATTTTGGAAATAAATAAGTTAAAAGGGAATCCTGATTTGTGGTTGCGCCACATAGGTGGGTCTAGGATTCTCTTTTATATAAATATATGATATGATTGATAGCTGAGAATGTAAGACCTGCAAAGGGCCACTACATTGTAGTATGACATCAGGAATTCTAAAATTGAAAAAGCATACCTAAAAAGGTTATTAACATATAAACCTAGTCACAAGGATCATCTGGGCTCAATTTTTTTTGTCCAACTTAAGAGACAGCAGAGTGCAAAATTACAGAACCAAATATTGCCAAACTTGTGCAGAAAATATCACTAAACGTTGAACTTGTGTTAATGTATCTGGTGCGGCAATAAGGATTAGGAACAGATATTTAGTAAAGATCAGCTTATTCCCCTTGTACCACATCGATCGTCATGTCCTTAAGCCTATCATTTTTTAATAAAACAACATGTTTTGATCAAAAAGAGGGTGGGTAATTTATGTTGGTCCTGACAGCCTCAAAGTAGCTCCCCCCCCCCCCCTCCTAACAGTACAATGGCTATCATGATCCAACACTCAGCTCACATTTGATTACTGTTATAGTCCGACGTGGTATAAGCAAAATATCAAGCCATAAAACTTGTACTAATTTATTAAAACGATTTTTATGAAGCACAAAGTCCTACATCACTAGTTATTCTCGATATAACTTTATACGAGGTTTGGTTTATAATATAAAATCCACATATCTTAAGTGACTTTTAATACCGTAAGCTAAACATTGCATGAAAATCTATGTATTATTTATGCCATTTAGAAGGTGGAATAAGTAATACATGTATTATACAGTACGTGGATAAAGAGTTATGTAATCTTGAATATTAATTCCCATATTATTTATTCTCACCAAACAATCCTCGTAATGTTATTCAGTGTATAAGAATTTATGCATTAAAAGTCGTGTCTAACTGAATCATCAACCAACTAACCCTTCGAAGTAATTATTATGGGATTGTGGATCTTTTTTTTTTTTTTAAGAATTAGTACTGTCGTATTCTTCAGCATTAAGGAATGTTGTCCACCTCCAAAAAGTTACAAGGTGCATTCAAGCTTTATAGAGAACCTAAGAAATCTACATCTCATCTACTTCCTCTATGCAATTTCCTTTACACCAAAAAAAAACACCAAAAAGTTCCATTTCACATCATGATTGGACTTGATCTTGAGAATTAGTACTGTTTTCTTTCCTTCTATTTTTTCCAGCTGTTGCCTAGATAAGAGAGTGGCAAATGTGGAACATAATAATCAATATGGAAATAAAAGGATTTAAGTATTAGCATAATTTCATGAAAATAGTCTTATTGGGTTTACAGAGAAATAATACTTCACACATATTTGAGGATTGTGGAAGTGTGTAAAAGGATATGACAGGATTGAGAATGTTGAGCTATTAAGGATACATTGCAGGTGATATAACTAATCATGTTGAAGATCTTAATAGAGCAGAAATTTTGACAAACTACCTCCATTAGCCTTGGACTAAAAAACGACGCTCTCATCTCTGGATTTAAACTCTGCTCAGCAAATTTTATTATTGATCTGCACCAGACAAAATAAGACAAGAGTATGAAGTTGCATACAACAATACGACAAAAATAAAGAGAAGGTAGAAGATCGGAGGACCACAAGTCTCCATTGTATGGCAGATATAAAGTCGGTAAGTAAGGATTAACTTTTAAATTTCCTGCTCAATTCTTTGGAGCTTTATGCCCCAATTGAAAATTTATATTCTGATGAGACATGTAAACATGGATCTTAGGCCTAACTCAACCCCAAAAGTTAGCTCATGGGAGGAGGATTGTCCTAGTCGATATAAGGAGACCAAATTCTCATCCCTTTTCTGATGTGGGAATTCTTAACACTCCACGATGCCCATACCTCGTTAACTAGAGCAAGGACACTATAACATGGGGGGCCAACATTGGTGAACAAAGAATTGGGATGGGCCTAGCTTTGATACCATGTAAGGATTGATATTAGGCCTAACTCAACCCTAAAAGTTAGTTCATGAGGGGAGGACTGTCGAAGTCCATATAAGGAGACCTAATTCCCATTCCTTTTTCGATATGGGAATTCTTAACAAGATACAGCAAACAGCAACTAGCATGACACTTTTACAAAGCTTTATTCCACTTATGAGTATTAAAGTTGCAAGACATACTTGGTACTAGAATTCACTAAAAGGAGATGGAATAACACAAGGTTCATCTTGACACAAAGAAATCACCATTGCTGATCTCCAGGTGGCGACTGGCGAGTCATGCAGGAAATGAGAATAAGACCCTCTGTGTCATAAACAACAAACTGCTTGGGAGGAATCACTTCATTAGCCCTCTCATCTTAAAGAGGTTTTGAGTATTTAATGCTCAGTGAAGTATGAAGAAAAAACCATCTTACTCTCGTGTTGGGGAAAACTTTTTGTTGCAAATGACGGAAGGCAAGAAAAAGGCCAACGAGGATGGCTAAAACCCTGCATCACTAGTTAATCTCCAGTCAACAATCTGATTTGGATAATTTTTACATTGATATTCAACATTTTATGTAATTTTACAGCACCAATTTCATTCATGTCCTATACTAACATTCAAATAACTCATCTCTTAACACATCTCAAGGAAATTCCACTTCCATTAATTTTACAGAATGAATGTATACATATTCTGAGGTAATGAAGGTAGCACATTTAAAAGGATTCACAGAAGATTTATAGGATTTCTTTTTTGTATTCTCTCCATATTTAGAACCATATGCACATTTATTTTTACCTGTTACCTTTGGGAGTAATATATTATACAACTTACTCGGCAATGCCTTGTTTCTTACGTGGTATCAGAGCCTAGTGGGCTCAAATTTTGGCAACTTTTCTATACATTTGGAAAGGTTTTAGTATCATGGGCCTCTCTTAAAGAGTGACCGCATTTCCTAACCAACACAAAAGAAGGAACAGAATAGCTTTGGAGAAACATCTATGGCAATTGTGAGAGAAGAGTTGTTTCTTTACGTTCCATCTAAAGTTTGACCTGGCCTCTCACAAGTTGGTGCACGAAGGCGCGTGCTCCGATAGATTCAATCACAGCTTGCATTTTGAGCTTCTTCTTGTAATTCGGCACACCCCTGGTGTTCCTCTGGTCTTAAAACCCTAGTCGAAAGTAAAGAGAGCTAATTCATGCATTTATAAGAGTATTTTTCTTTTTACGATAGAGAAACTAGTAACATGGCTCACACTCAAAACTGGATGAATAACAGGCCCTCCCATTTACTCTTTTCCACTTAAATGAAAAAAATTGTCTGCAAAAAAGTTGGAACCCATTACGTGCATCTAACACACATTACTTGTTGCGCTCTTACCACTAGACCAAATCCCTGGGATAATTTCGCTCATGTTTGTTTGATATGAATTTTATTACCATTTAATTACAATTGTATATTTATTATGTTTAGATATACAATCGATGTTCAAATCTAGAGACAAAGATCTTAATATATAGATGTGCATACAAATTCAGACGTCTAAATCTCATTAAAAAAAATGTACCCCAAGAAACTCTACAGATTGATACTTCGCATGGAACCTAAAAGTGTGGCCTAGTGGTCAATGAAGTTCTCAGTGAAACAAAATACTAGGTGATTTTTTCTTATTTTCCCAAGCCTTCGAGGGTAGAGTACCCGCTACAGATGGAACTAGTCAAGGAGGCACAAGCGGGCTTGAACACCATGGTCATCAAAAAAGATTGATACTTTGCACGCTAAGCAATATGGGAACCTTCAAGTCAGATAAATTGATGTAATACATTATGATATAGACAACATGTAAATAGTGATAGAGAATGGTTAGATATCTTACTTTTTGAAGTATCCACGGAGAGGAAGTAAGGAACTTACCCACAAAGTATGACAACTGGATGCTTGTCCGTCTCCATAACATCCATAAATTGGGATTGTATAGCATCAGGCACCTAATGAGAAGTAACAAATTTCACCCCATGTACAGAACCATAGGAAATGGAATCACAACAGAAAATAAAATAGTGTATTTCAAAGATTAGTGTTTACAACTAAGGAACTGATAGAAATCACTAATGCAGCATAAGCAGATGCAGGGCGTGTACAATAGAGCATGTCTATAACTCTATATTATACTGGAAAAGAGAAATAAACCAATAAATACACACAAATTAATGACCGCCTTCCGATATTTGCCTAATCCTGCATCTGCCTTTCTTCTTTCTACTTGGAAGGGACATGTTAAAGAAGGGGGACTCTAAGGCCAAGGTGCAGATCTTAAAATCATATCAAATGGTTTTGAAGGTAAACAATTGTCTGTTATCATTAAGCTAAAAGTTAAGGCTAGCCAGAACACTGATGACATTCAGAATAAAATGATAAAGCAACTAAAAAAGTAATCATGTATTGCATTAATGCAATCAGTAATGCCGTCTCAAAGGATTTCCAGAACAGACATTATCCCAGCACAAAAATCTCTCCAAAAAATCACCAGCATAAAGAAAGATTTTCAGTACCAAAGGTGTTTCACCCTGTCCTTCATCTGCTATAATATGCCCAGTTATTAATAAAAGTGAGTAGAGCTCTTCCAAAGTTTGAGTTGGATCACTAAAGCCTCTGCCCTACACATGACAAGAAGAAAATGTGGTTTACACCCAGTAACGTATACACACATGTATATAATATTAGCAGACATACAAGACTGTACTAGGGACAAATTGCTGTATTTATAAAACAATTGCTCTACATTAACCCAGGGAAGGGGGGTGCCTACGTTACATAAAAGGAGAGAGTTCAGCAAGTTAGCTTTAACACTCTGTATCTAAAACAGACCAGAAATCAGCTTTTCAGAAATCTACAGGTGCAATCGACGGTTACCATCGACGGACCGTAGCCTGACCCACGACCCGTACTGCACATCCGTCGTTTGTGACTGAAACTCCCCTAAGACGCAGCCCAGAAAATTTGACCAAGTGTCGAACGACGGACAGACCTACGATCCGTAGTCTGTGTCCGTCAGTCAAAATCCGATATACCCACTCACTCACAAGAACCACGATTGACCAGCACAGTTTGTAGATGGAGCTACGGACCGTAGGTATGAGCGTCGGTGGAAATTAGCAGACAGTTAGGGGGAAATTGCAGTTGGGTTAACTTCAAATGATCATAACTCTTAGCACAAAATGAATTAGGTGTCCCATGACATACCAAAAGATAGATAATTGAATTAGCTTTCCATAGCCACCGACCTTGCAAAAATAAGACCATCGAGTAAAAAGCTATACCTGTTTTAGTAAAGGTCTATCGAACAGACCCAGACGATGGGCGACGGCCCGTCAATCCAGGTCGTCGTTTGGTCTGATAGCAATTAACTCAAGGGTCTTTTGGTCATTTCCCACCTCGTTTAAACGTTAAGATACTTTGTTTTGACCCTAAATCACAGATTTTAGTAAGTTTGAGCCTAGAAACAAAACTAAAACTTACCCGAAATCTAAATATTTCTCCGTGGATTTCATCACTAGGTATGTGGGATTTCACTAGTGGATTCCTTTCATCCATTGGGCCTTTAGTTTTCATTCAGATTCTTGATTCCCATATCATGATTAGACCTAGGGTTTCTAGAACTTCAATAGAACTTTATAAATTAATTAGCTATATGTTCCAAATCAGATTGTAACGTTATTATTCAGTTTATAGCATGAATTTCAGAACCCTAGTTATGTATTTCTTTAGTTCTTGAATTACACATGCTAGGTTAGATATTTCGGTTACTTTAGATATACATGCTTCAGTTATAAATACATAATTACCAGAATAATTGTTGCATTCTCAGTTTGCATGTTCAGTTTTGAGCTATCCAGCATATACAAAAATTCAATCATAATGTCTTAATCACTTTATTCATTGGGAGTAGCATAATACCGAGTTGAACTAAAATTCAGTGTACCCACTTAGTCTCAGAACTACTAGCCAAGTAGCTTGTAAGTCCCCTCTATGGCCAATCAATTTAGTGATCACGACAGCATGCCTTTATACCTCTGGTAGGGTATATTGGGTCTTTTCAATGGGGCGTATACATCGGACTCCACATTTAGCTCATGTGGTTTTATTATCGGTTATTAGTAGCTCCCACTGTTCAGTCTAACTCTATTACATTGAGCATTTATCAGTATATTTAGTATTTAGTTCCAGCATGCTATAAATTGATCATTGCATTCAGTTACTTCAGTATTCAGCATATCATGTTCAGATTATTATACTTGATTTGTGTTTGTTCTGTTTTGTTTTATTGCAGCTTTACTCTATCCTACATGTTCAGGACCTTCAAGTACTGACGCACACGTGCGCTACATCTTCTCGTGATGAAGGTTCAAGTTCTCAGCATCCAAATTACGCATAGATCGATTCCCGATATCCTGTTCAGCATATTTTGTAATGAGTCCTCATTCTCCGAGGACAACAGTCATGAGTTCATTTTAGTCTTTTAGTCATTTAGTTTATGTTTTTGCTAGACTTAGCTAGGGCTTGTCCCAGCATTTCTAATCAGATAGAGGCTTATTTCAGACATAAATAGTTTCACCTTAGTATTGAGTTAATATTTCCTTTATATTAAACTCATCATTTTCAAATATCTCAATTAAAGAATATGGGTATTCCCCATCTTTTCAGTTTAATTTATGATTTAGCTTCCGCATTCAGTTTATTATCTTTAGTATGCTCATGATTATGCTAGCAGGATTAGCTTGGGATCACTTGTGGTCCTAGATTTCGTGTCCACGTCTCAGGGATAGCTCGGGGCAGCGTGACATCAGCATTCCATGCCTAAAGAATATACAGAACTAGCAAAAACACAGAAACATAATTATACTGGAAATGCATTTGATCCAAAATTGACTCTTCTAACATGAAAGAGAGACTTCACAAGTAGGCAAAGTAGAAAAAAGACAACACCAACGGAAAATGGAGCAAAGATTCCTAGGCGGGATTTTTGGAGATAGGAAATGCAGACAAAAAATAATAGTGGATCAACAATTAAACACTTGGATGATGATATCACTTCAAGAAGAAAGACAAACCAGCAGGTTGATTGAGTTTGACATGTAACAGCATATATCATTTTTTTAACTTCTACAGATAACTAAAATACTGAGAAAAGCTAAAGGATGCTCAGAAATACAAAAACATAATAAGTTGAAAAGATAAATTCTAAAAGGGGACAAGTTTGCTATCTGAATGAACAGTTTGAATTACCTTACAGATCCCCAAGATCAAAACAACAAGAGATTAGAGTGACGAAGTACCTGTTGTAGACGGGCAAATTTCTCAGAGAAGAGTCGTATAAGAAAAGGAACAGTAACATTAATAGCTGCTCGAGCAATAAGTGCATACGAACTCAATCTTTCATCCATAGCTAAAAAAAACAATAAGAAAGAATAAGAAATAAGTACAAAAGGTGGAAGAAAAGAAAAAAAGGAAACAACTATGAAGATATAAAGGATAACAAAATAGAAAGATAATTGTAACGTCATAATAGACATTAGAAAAAGGAACCGAAAAAAGAAGCTTAAATAATTAATGAATGAAGTATATTTAACTACCAGCAATAGAAGCCTGAAGATAATCAGTCTCATTCTCATCATTGAAGGCGGATGCAGAAGCAGCTACATAAGGGATCATGTTACAAAGTCACCAACACAGTAAGAACTTTAAATCAAGAATTTATATTCGTATTATATATGACTTACCTCTTAATTCAGACTCTACAATCAGGGCAAATAGATGAGATGTAGCACCAATCCCTTCCAATGGAATAACCGCATAGCTAATAGAACCATCCAAAGGCTGAAATGTTGTACATAAAATATATAAAAATACGGGTACCGATATTTAAAAGACTATTAGTGTTGGTGTGTGTATAGATCGCACACTAATATATATATATATATATATATATATATATATATATATATATATATATATGCCTCTCTTTGTGTGTATGTAGATATCATATCTCCATCTGAAAAGTTGAATTTTACATATTTTAACTACGAAATTTCATTAACATAGTAGTACCATTACTAGGCTGTGATTGTCCAAAGCAATATTTAATGCTATACACATTTAAATCTTCAACGTTTAGAAGACGTGTCAGCATTTTTAAACAGTGTAGACATTTATATACTAAGAAAGAACAAAGAATTTCACAACCACATAGAATTAGTGAGAGAGTGCACCACCACTTACATTCTTGCATCCTGTGCCACAGATATTCTAAAATAGGCTCACGCTTATGAAGCTTGAACCAATACTCTAAAACTGAAGGGTGGTTAAATCACGGTAACTAATTAAACCCACACTAAGATTTCTGTACACCGAAAGCTGCTAAAACAACCCCCTTCCAACCCCTCAAAAAATACAATAACAAAAAGGGAAGGTAGAGAGAGAAAGAGAAAGGAAGCAACCAAACCACTTCAACTACTGTTAAAATTAAAATGTAATACGCAATGAGATTGGATTTATGAGTTGTTAACTTACAACTATTGGTCTTCTTATATCAATTGTATATGGAAATATCCTAAAGACTCACAAGTTTATTTTATTTTTAAAAATATGGCAAGCATGTTCCTTTAAAAAGAAAAACAAAAAAAATTGCACACAGGAGCCCCATAGGTCTTCCCCACTTTGCTCCCCTGCTTACTGAAGCCCAAGTCTCATGCTTGAAGGAGGAGGGCTCTAACCATTAGACTATCACTCCCTTGTTATTTCTGTTTCATTTTTTCCTCTTTTTGTCACAAGTCCTACAGTGTTCGTAATCTAAGAGAAGCTCAACATTCTTGAATAGCATCACTTGCAAACTTTTCTATCTCTTAAGGCTTTCATACAAGCATGCAGTTCCTAGCTCTTGTTGTTTATCTATGCTAGCACTTCAATTATGAAAAATTATCAGAAATTAATATGAACATACAGGCAACAGGTGAGACCACCAGTACCTCTATAAACCCCTTGGGAAGTCTTTACACGACCATGTGAAACAGCAATATAACTTAATACAAACAATTAGGACATTAAAGAAAGGTAATGCCTTGTCCTCCATCATAGCATGTACTTGAAAGAGAAAATGTTACTAAAGCATGAGTTCAAAAAAGAAGCAAATAATAAGCAATCAGCTCGCCGTCCAAGATCAAAAGGTGTTCTGGGAAAATTGGTATTTTGGAGGAAGGAAACCAACTCTCCAAAACCTTTGGACAGTTCAAACAGTAATATTGATCGTTATATGCCAAAAAAAAAAACACTGCTCAAAAATACTATACATATATTGCCCCCTATACAGACTTCTTAATTCCTCATTTGCACAGCATAATGTTCTCTCTTCCGCTTTAAGAAATAGGTGCACTAGCATAGTCTAGAATGTAGAAAGCCTAGAAAAATGTCGTGTTTAATGCGGCTTAAGGTGCTGCGCTTTAGTGAAGAAAGGCACAAACTTAGAAAAGCTACATACATAATATTCCATCCATTCCAATTTATATGGAAAAATCTGAATAGGCATAGCGACTTCACATTTATGTAGCTATAAAGATTTTCACTATTAGAAATAGAAGTAGGATTGTACAGTGTCCAGCGTGGAGAAGGAATGCAATATAGTGTCTATAAAATATAAATAAGGTCAATATAATAATGTAGAAGGTAATCTATCCTGGAAGAGTAAGAAACAGACTATGGTTTCTCGATCTAGTGCAAAAGCAGAATATAGAGCAACGGTTGTAGCAGCTTGAGTGCTAGATTGGGTCAAACAGTTGCACAAGGAATAAAATTTGGAGAAATCCATCTGATAGAACTTGAGTGTGATAATCGACACTGCAACTAACTTCAGTGCTTAAATGCACCTCAAGTATGCCTAAAAACATCATACGCCCATAACTTTTCAGTAACATCATTGGAAGCTGTATAAAGAAATACCATCAGAAGTGTAGTCCAAGTATCCAACAAGATATCACGTGCTACCCAGCTCCACGTCTCCTCTTCAGTGTGGCTTGCCATAAGGTCTTTAATGACCTCACACATCAGGGCGGACAACAAACTAAGAGTGCCATAAGGCCTGAGCATTACAGTAGAAGTGGTTAACATAATCAAATATTCTAACAAGAGAAAAACTGAAGGATAACCATTAAACTGCAAGAATAAAGCATGAGTGTTGATAGTCACATCATATACATTTATGTATCTATCTATCTATATTCTATATACTACCTCAAAAGCATGAACTCCCACACATGAATGTTGAATTACTATAATACCCCAATTAAAAATACTCAATTTAATTTATTTATTTATTTATTTAATCAGTTTTATTTTTTATGAAAGTAGATACCTTTTCAAATTAAAGCATTGTGACTTTTTCAAATGGTTGTGACTTTTCCGAAGGGTTGTGATTTTTTCCAAGGGTTGTGACTTTTCTAAAGGGTTGTGCCTTTTCGGATGAGTTGTACCTTTTTCAAAGGGTTGTGACTTTTCCAATAAGTAGTGACTTTTTCGAAAGGTTGTTACTTTTTGGATAAGGCATAATTAACACCTATTCATACTACTATTTGGTAGCTATTAAAAGAGGGGTTTCCTTTCACTTTAAAGCTACAATATTTTAAGTTCTCTACTCTTCTTAAAAAATCTCAAGTGTTATTTGCAAAAAAATGATTTAAGTTCGAAATTCGAGGTACCTCATAAGAAAAGTTGGTGAAAAAATTGTAGCAAATCACACTCGTATTTTTTCTCACCATTTTCATGATAGTGACGAAAAGTTGTGGTAGAAACAAAATACTAAACATACATGAAAAAAGGCATAGGATTTGGGTAAGCTATTTCTTATTTGTTTTTTTAATATTTTATTCTTTTCCCTCAAATGAAGGAATTTCTTCCTAATTTTTCTGAAACAATGGGTATCGACGTAGTCCATTGAATTATTAGTTTTGATGTTAAATTCACTATTTCAAAAATAGATTTTCACTTTAACTTTTAACTTATAATATGATAACACAGCCATGATAATAACTATTTTTAATAAATATGTACGTAAAAATGAACGAAGAAAGTGAAGTTTTAGTGGTAAGGGATTAAATCAAATGGAACACTATATAGCATGAACATATATTTCATTTTGATGTATTGTTCCATATAATTTTTCTTTATGTAACTAGATACACTCCTTACTAGCTATATATAAAAATAGATAAGAAAATAGTAATTTATCATAAAATGATCTTAAATCAAATTAATGATTCTATAAAAAATACTTTACATTTTATTCATCTATTAATTTTTATTATTGAAAAATTTAAATATTTTATATCATTAAACAACTTCCATGAGATACCAGATTCTTTCATAAGACAATAACTATATGATATATATGGGGCAAAAAGGAGAAGAATACAATTTTACAAAAATAAGGTGAAAACTTAATGAAAATGAAATATTCTTCACCATAGGTGATGTTATTCATATATTAAAATTAAATTATTCTAATGAAGTATATATACACACACGTGCAACGCACGTGCCGTAACACTAGTATATATATATATGCACACACACTACCACAGTGGTTACTGCTGACCTTATAGACTTCAGCAGTTCATCAAATACTAGCACTGTGATTACAGTAACCATGTATAGTGAGGCATATATATACATATATATACACACACACACACACACTACCACAGAGGTTACTACTGACCTTATAGACTTCAGCAGTTCATCAAATACTAGCACTGTGGTTACAGTAGCCATGTATAGTAAGGCTCGGCATCCGTCAAGGAATTCACTGGACAAAATTGAAAAATTGGTCAAGCGTAGCACATTAATAGAGAATATGCAGGCATTGGTACCAATATTAACCTTTCACTTTTTCCGTTCACTATTGCTGTTGAAACAACATCAGGGGGGTCTATCCATGCTATAATTCCAGATAAAAGATGCAAAAGGTGCTGTTTTTGAGTATTCCCGTCATCTGCTTCCATATAAAGAGGAATACCGAATGAGCACCCAAAGGTCCCACAGTCAAATATTTAGCATTTATGCGGGTAAAAAAGGAAAGACGCAATAATCAAGACAGAGCTTCCACTTACTATTAACGTAAGAGCAGTAAGATGAATTATTTTTTTACAGAAACTCATATAGCAAGTTGTCACAATCCTCAACAACAACAACATACTGCCTTTCTAGTTTATAGTCTTTTGTAGTGTTGGGAGTTATTTTGGCTACTAGCAGAAGAATAGTGTGTGTTGCCTTCTTCTCTAGTCTATGAGTCTTGTGAGATTTACTCTGATCCTTGAGAAAGTCGACTGTCGTAAGCTGACTGTGGGTTTGTAATTCTAATACTTAGTGATCAAAAAAATCATATTAGTTACCAAAAAAAAACGTACCTAGTGTAATCCCACGAGTGGGTTCCGGTGAAGGATAGGTATAGTAGGAGATAGAAAGTTATAAGCATAGTTCAAAGGTTACACTTTTGAAAAGTTTCATCTTTTTGATACAAGAAAAGAATTTGATTTGGGTGTTTCAATGATACAAAACTTTCAGCATATATGACAAGTTACCAACTTTTCCTCAGAGATTATTGAAATAAAAATTACATGAAGTTAAGCCATATCAATTGCAAAAAGAGGACCTAAATGGTAAGAGGTTAGTAATATTATTATTATAAACAAACTGAGTGAGTCTGAGATTTATCAATCATGAAATACTAGTTGGAGGTTGGAGTCCTCGTCCAGCATAACATAATATAATAGGCTGGAAGAGTTCCAGCTTCGCAATAGTATTCACTCTTTTAGGGTACTAACAGTATGAGAAATACTTGATCAGCCTTACTGAACAAGTTGACAATATGAAGAGCAATCCTCAATTTCAATCAAAGATGTATCACATCTATCACAGGAGTTGGGAATAATGTACTAAAAGTAAAGTAACGACAAATTTGATAGCAAACTAGTATGAGTACCAGATGGAAATATTGTTCCCCACAAGGAGAAAAACTGAACTATAAGCTTGCGAGCAGAGACTGCAAGAGGACAATCAATCCAGTATCCTTCACACGAAAACTTCTGCCTCAGTGCTTCATAAAAGCTTAAAAGCCATCCGATGTGACCACTCGACACAAGTATACCCCGCCAGGAGGATCCAGGCTATAAATAATGAAAAGAACAAACACGAATTATTAAAAGATTAGTTTAGCTAGAATGACTAGTGGAAACAATCCAACATCTGAAAGGAAAAATAGAAACAAATGGTACTTTAAACGAATTAGACATTTTATCATTACGAAGAAGAAAACCATGCATCCTAGAGTAAAACAAATTAAGTACATAGAGCTAACAAGTGGTAGTGAAGATCAGTCTAGCAGACATCATGAAGTAGCCCAATGGGTTAGCAACATATATAATCCCTCCATCCCACTTCTAATATAAAAAGAAATTGATCGTGTAACGCATTGCACCCCTAACCAAACACACAATAGTACAGCAATATAAGGCCTCTGTAAAGAATATCCCCATAGCTTGTATGACCAGAACCCCACTATTTGATTGATACGAACCAGCTAGATCAAGTGGCAAGTAAAGACATCCAAGTGCAACAACATACCAGTGTGGTACCACAATCAGGGTCTAGGGAGAGTGTGTATGCAGACCATACCCCTACATTTATGGGGTAGAGAGGTTGTTTCTGAAAAACTCTCGGCTCAAAAAAACGATGTCAGAACAGGTATGATGAAAAATGCAAAAAAAAGAGTCAAAATTTTGAAGACAAAAAAGTAACATAAATAAAGTAAAAGAAATAATAGTTAGTAATATTATTGAAGAATAAGGTACTGCTTACATAATAGGAATAATACTGGTAAGTGAGCAAGTAGGTGTGGTGCTCTAGGCTAGAACCATGCTCTACCAAAGGGAAGATAGAAATCGCTCTTTATTTTACCCTAATCCTTGATCCCCATGCCCTCCTATACAAGGTCATTTCCTTGGTGAGATTGTCTAAACCATCTCCCCAGATCTTCCTCAGTCTATCTCTACCTCAATCACTGCATAGACCTATCAGGCTATCACTACCAAACTCTTTACTTTTTATGAAGTAAGAAGAATGTCATTAACAAAGCATCAAGAAGATGCACAGATTACAAAAGAAGAAATATCAGCTCCCAAAAAGGCATAAAAAACTATCTAAACATCTAACAACAGAGATCTATGGAGCTGATAAATTCCAGGAAAGAATTGGCACCAAGTACAGGAGAGAGATTAACCCAACCAAAAAGAGTAATCAAACACCTTGCTTTAAAGGTAGAGATTGGAGTTGGGGTGCCATCGAAAAATCTTTTGTTCCTCTCCGTCCATAAGAAATATTTAACATATCTGCCTCAATTTCCCATACCTCCTCACTGAAGAATTCGTGTTCTTCCTTTTCACATGCCCGAACTATCTGTCTCACTTTCCACATTTTGCCCACCACAAAGGTCACTCCCACGTTGCCATGTATATCTTCATTTCTAATCTTGTCTCCGCTAGTGTGCCCACACATCCATCTAGCATCCTCATTTTTGCTACATTAATCTTCTAAATCTGGGAATTCTTGTTGGCCAACATTCAACCCCATATATAACAAAGACGGTCTAACAACAACTTTATGAAACTTAGCTTTAAGGTCTCGGTGAGACATTCTTATCACATAGGACACCGAATGTGAGCCTTCATTTCATCAATCTAGATTATGTATGATGTGTGACATTTAGGGGGGGGTGCAAAAACCAAACCGACCAATAAACCGAAAAAAATGTTATTGGGTTATTGATATTCCGCTAACAGATTTCTCATAATTTTATTTAAAAAAATTTGGGTTATCGGTTTGGTATTATCTTTTAGCATTGGGTTATTGGGTAAACTGATAACCCATAAGACGATTGTAATTTACTGTTATACCCTTCAATCTTCATAAATATTAAACATTCATAATTTAACATAACTAGGCACTATATCAGTACTCTACACAATGGTCTACACACTTCACACGTCAAAATACTTCTACTTCACGTCGGAAATTTCATACTGTGTTTCGGTTGTAACATGTTTTTGTAGCCTTTGTACTACATCTACTCTTATTGATGCAATGTCTCTTATCAAAGTATTTACAATTGATTCACTTGTCTCGATGTATCGCACCAAATTGTTAGAGAAGTGAGAAATTATATATTTATTTTATGAGCTTTTTCTAATTGGGTGGACCAAAAAGCAAACCGCTATTGACCAAAAACCAATAAACCAAAAATCGATAATGAATATCTCATTGGTTTGTTGTTGATTAAGCGTATTTAAAAATCAAAATCAACAAACCGAACCGATAATAGATAAAACTAAACTGACCGATGCACGCCAATCGATGCACACATTGACATGTTCGTCAATCTCCCCATTTCCTTATATAATAGACCCAAATACTTGAAGCTTCTTTCTTTGGGAATGACTTGTGTAAGGTGTACCAATTATCACCTCAACATCTGCTTCTTGTGATATGGCATTGAACTGGCACCGCGTGTACTTTCTTGGGATATGGCACTGAACTGTCGCCACGTGTACTTAGTTTTACTCTTGCTCATCTTAAGACCTTTAGACTATAAGGCTTGTCTACAAACCTCCAGTCTATTGTCAACTCTGTTATCTGACTCGTCGATCAATATTATGTGTCATCTGCAAATAACATACACCATTGTACCTACATATGACATTATAACAACCAAGTTAACAACTCCATAACTACTTTGCATGTGTTCTCCTAAAATTCAACTGGATCTCATCTCACTCGCTCTCTCTTCCCCTTTTCATCTAACAAATTGCCCCCTTAACTTCTTCAAACTTTATACACCTGCAATACCCAAATTCATGACGACTCGCATTCGCATACTACTATAAATCACCTAGCACATTGCTCATGTCCTCCTCCACATTTAAGAGTATGGAAGTATATTTATCATCATCGTTTAATGAGTATATCTTCCACCAATACCCTATCTTAATTGCCTTGATAAACTTCACCTGGTCTAGGTCGTGGGCCCTCGTCTCTCTCACCTTGGCGACTATACAACTTTTAATAGTTGACTTTACCTTATACTTCCACATGGTCCAATTACAAGGGTTAAAGCCAAGAAGATCAAACAAGCCATGACTGGAATAGTCAAGAAGTTCCTTGGACCATATATGGGCTTGAAGGAGACCATAAGAGTCCTGATTGGTCAATTCGATTTGGGTTTGTGAGAGAAAAACACACATCACTTGTGGACTTGAGTCGAAGAATTTGGCCAAGTTTTATTTGTTAAACCGTAGGAACTTATAAATAGAAGAGATATGTTTGTCAAGAGTGAAGTATTTTTTATTAGAATATCTTGAGATCTTTATTAGCTCTAGGAAAAGGTGGGTTGAGTTTGAAAGGCCTTTTGGTTTCTTTCCTAGTACGTAATAGTCTTCCAAAGGTGTAAAAAACCTTAACAATCATCATCATTATAAATAGATGGAGGAATAGTCTGGTGGACCCTTCTACTTGTATGCGTTTGTATTGTGAACCCTTCTACTTATATGATTGTCAATTGAACCCTTAAACTCAATTATAATGAGTCTTTTAAACCCCTCGAACGATGTGTGTGGCTCTATCTCTTTCATACAAAAGACACGTCGTATCCATATCACATATATATACGTCATGTCATAATTATTTTTAAAATTATCATTAACCAAAATTGTTTAATAAAAGAAAAAGAATAATATACTAATTATATTTTTATAGTAGAACTCCATTACTCTCTCCTACTCACACTATTTCACAGCCAAAGTTGTTGCCGAAAAACCATTTTTTATGGCGATACGACTCATATTCTCACCCTTACATGGCATCATCTCCTTCGCACATCATCATCATTTTCCTTTCCTCTTCCAACCTCCACAAACCCAACAACCTAAGCTACCAACCATCAGATCTAGCCGAACACTATCACCATTTTTGCCTTCATCTTGGACGCATACCATCACCATTTTTGCCTACACCCCCTAAAGGTTATTTATTTATTAGTACTTTGACTATTCCAAGAATCTTGATCTATCTCTGCTTCATTCAATGGCACCCTGATACTCTTTCCTAGTACTTTGTTTTGTGTTCAGGCTGCAACTGAAACTGCTAAAGATCAAACCTTCTAGCAATTTCTGTAGTAGCATCTATACTTTAGCTCTCAGTTGCCTCAGTCTTCGTTTCCGTCAAAAAAATCCAATCTTTCTTCTTTTATTGCCAGGAATCGGACCTTTCTTGATTCTATTTCTATTCGAGCAACTGCTAGTAGTAGCAGTAGTAGTAGTGGTGGTGGCACTAAGGATGAAATTCCAAGAAGAAGAAGAGAGAAAGGGGGCTGAGGCGGAGGAGAGACAGGTGGGAGTGGGGTGGGAGAGAGATGGTTGAGAAAGATGGGTTTTTAATTTTTTAATAAAAAATTGATGATTATTATTTTTATTTAAATATTTTAATGTAAAATACCTTCCACTCGCTGTTAAACGCGTGTTGTCACGTAAGTTTCCAACTCAGCATTATTAATGACACATAAGTTCAGTCATGGTTAACGCGGTTTAAAATATTATGTATGATGAGTTTAGGGGTTCAGTTAACAAACATGTAAGTAGAAGGGTTCACAATACAAACACATACAAGTACAAGGGTCCACCAAACTATTCCACCTAAATAGATTGCTACTCTGTATAAGAGAGAACTATATTCTGTGAGTTCTTCTAGGAACTTGCAATATCAAGGTGTGTTTCCTAATCGTGGATCGTGTTCACTATTTGATAGAGCCCAGTGCCCTCCTAGACCTTGATGTTTGAATTAGCTGCAAAAGTTTGCCAAAGATTCCTTATACCTCTACACAAGCTGAAGTCACAATTATTAGAGCCCAATGCCCTTCTAAACCACTTTTCACCTTGATCACTTCCCTCCAAAAGGCTTGTTCCTCTATGTAAAACGCCCCCAACTACTTCAGGAGCATACGCTTCTTCTCTTGGTTCCCTTGCCAGATAAATATTTTTCTATAAAACATCACTTCTCGAATGTACTGTGACGTGCATTGGAAATAAAGACAGCATATATGACGAAAGTTCATCAAAAA